CAGGGATGGAGTAATATGTGGATGAGGTCTCAGGAGCGGGACTATGTGTGGGCGTGACCCCAGGGATGGAGTAATATGTGGATGAGGTCTCAGGAGCGGGACTATGTGTGGGCGTGACCCCAGGGGTGGAGTTATGTGTGGATGAGGTCTCAGGAGCGGGACTATGTGTGGGCGTGACCCCAGGGGTGGAGTTATGTTTGGATGAGGTCTCAGGAGCGGGACTATGTGTGGGCGTGACCCCAGGGGTGGAGTTATGTGTGGGCGTGACCCAAGAGCGGAATTTCCCTACCTGCTGCAGCTCCTCGTAGGTGATGGAGAAGAAGTTCTCGTTGCCCTTCAGCCCCATCCAGCCGGTGACGTGGTCGAACCAGGAGCTGTAGACCACTGTGCAGGAGAGAGTGGCACGGTGACCCCAGAGCTGCCCCCCCCCCCGGCCCCTCCACCCACTGTTTAATTTATAATTAAAGTGGTGTCAGGGATCAAGCAATTTTTTTACATTCATAAGTGATGCAGCCAGCCCAGAGGTGCCAGAGCTCTGAACTGCCAGGCCCAGAGGTGCCGGGGCTCTGAACTGCCAGGCCCAGAGGTGCCGGAGCTCTGAACTGCCAGGCCCAGAGGTGCTGGGGCTCTGAACTGCCAGGCCCAGAGGTGCCGGGGCCGTGGCACAAAACAAGCACTACTTCCACCTAAGTCCCCTCTGTGACGTTATTGATATTATCTGGGAACGTATAGAACATGGCTGCAACCAAAGTCCTGTAGTGGCACCAAATCTTGTATAAAGGGGGTCAAATGAGGTGTCTAAGACAAGGGTATGGTTTGCTGGTTATGATTATGCTGTCTAGATGTGTGTATCAATTTTGGAGTTGAAGTTATAAATATTGGCTCTGTACTGTCTGTATTTCAAACTTATGCTATGCTGCTGGGAGACACCCCAGACAAGTTGGTATTAGCTCTGCCTAGCCTGCTTGATGCCCATTAAGGACCATCAGCTATACAATGGTCCCATTGAGAGAAGGCAGATACACCTTGCAAATCAGCAAAGTATGCAGGGACTGGCCCATGTGACTCCAGACTCCATTTTGCTGTAATTTTCCACAGTAAGGACAAAGAGGTGTTCTTACACCTGGAAAGGACATAAAAGGCTGATGCCTCTCCTCCATCTTGTCTTCAATCCTGCTTCTTACCTCTGGAGGGACTTTGCTACGAATGGAAGCTCTACACAAAGGACTGATGACCCATCCCAGCTGGGGATGTTCCCGAGACTTGGTTTGAGCCTGCAGTTTATTCCATCACTGCTACAAGCCTGAACCAAGAACTTTGCCATTACTGTATGTAATTGATTCCATTTAACCAATTCTAACTCTCCTCTCTATCTTATTCCTTTTATGAATAAACCTTTAGATTTTAGATTCTAAAGGATTAGCAACAGCATGATTTGTGGGTAAGATCTGATTTGTATATTGACCTGGGTCTGGGGCTTAGTCCAATGGGATCAGCAGAACCTTTTCTCTTTTACTGAGGTATTGGTTTTCATGACCATTTGTCCCCCATAACGAGAGGCACTGGTGGTGATACGGGGAAACTGGAGTGTCTAAGGGAATTGCTTGTGTGACTTGTGGTTAGCCAGTGGGGTGAGACCAAAGTCCTCTTTGTCTGGCTGGTTTGGTTTGCCTTAGAGGTGGAAAAACCCCAGCCTAGGGCTGTAACTGCCCTGTTGGAGCAATTTGTTCTAAATTGGCACTCTCCGTTGGGTCCCGCCAGAACCGCAGCATTACACCCTCCATGGTGCGCGGCCAGACAGCCGTGCAGCAGCCTATTAAGCCACACACAGCAGCTTATTAAGCTGTGCTGGGCACTGGGCAAAGGGCAGCTCAGAGCTGGCTGGGGATGCACAAACTGGATCCCATCAGTGAGTGGCTGGGAGACCAGGCATCGGGCGGGAGAACGCTGCCTGCGTTTTCCTAACTGCAGCAGGGCCCCCGAGGGTCCCGGGGTCCTGCTCACCATTCCCGCTCAGGAAGTCCTCGAGGAAGGAGTCCAGTGAACCAGGGTCCTTGAAGAGACACAGAAGCTTGGAGAAGTGGTACAGCGAGACCAGGACGTCCTTGGGGCAGCGCAGGGTGTAGATGATCTGGGGGGGAGGGGAAGGGGGTCACTACCAATCGGGGGAGGGGGATGACAAATGGACCCAGCGATTAGCCACCCACCCCGGGCCGTCACCTCCCCACCCTCTCTGCAGGGAGACGGATTCGCCGCACCCCACTGGCTGCTCTTCTGCACGCCCACATTGCTGTAACTCACACCCAGCAGCAGCCCTGGATTCACCCATCTCCCGACGCACAGCCCTGTCGGTGCCCCTCAATCCCGACCCGCAGCCCCTGTTCTCCCGCCTCTCACCTTGGCCTTGGAGCGCTGCAGGAACTTGGGGAAGAGCTGGACGGGGAGGTGGGAGGAGAGCAGCCGGGGTGGGGGGTATTTCAGGGCAGCCTCCAGCCCCAGCTGGCTCTCCACCAAGGGCGCCCGCTCCCAGTTCAGCACGCTGCGCACCCAACCGGGGTCCCCGTCACAACGGATCAGACTCAGGATCTCCAGCATCCAG